CAGGAAGTGAATCTCTGCTTCACCAGGTGTCATGCCCCTGCAGAGGAGATAGGGAGTAACAAAAGACTAATAAGGAACACCCCACCCTTCCCTCCCCACTGCTGTACTGTGTGGGGGACCAGATGCCTGCCCAGGGAGCTGAACATGGGATGTTATCAGCAGGGCCCCTTCAGTTGCTGTACAAGCAGCTGCATGCAGGTCTCAGCCACTCACATCCCAGCCTTGGGAAGTAAGTGCAGCACCAGGGCTGCAGAGAAGCTCACCTGTAGGTCTTGTGCAGCTCCATGATCCGTTCCTCCAGCTCCTTGGTTTGGTTGGGTGCGAAGCGGAGCTCACTGACATAATTGCCCACATGTTCTTCAGAGTCATAGTCTCCCAGCTCTGCCTGCACGGCATAGGAGCCCAGCAGGGCGTGTGTGACGAAGGAGCACGGCAGGCGCCCTGTGATGATGTCAGCTCGCAGCTGCAGACATAGGTAGTACCTGAGGGGAGAGATGCAGGCGTCAGGTGGTAGGAGTAGGGACAAGAACGCAGTCAAATTCTCCCCAGGAAGAAGCAGGCCAATGAGACCTCCAGGCAAATATTAGGGCAGGCACGGGATTGTCCCTTGTTGCCTCACCTTGTGATGTCCTCAGTGAGCTGAGCAGGGTCAGGGGGGTAGAACTTAACAGTAAAAGCAAAGTTCCAGGGGCCACCTACAAAAAGGAAGAAACAGGATGAAGAGGACATCTGCCTGGGGTCATTTGACCCCAGTACTCTTTCCTGCCATGGCAGGGGGTCGGACTAGATGATCTGCTCAGGTCCCTTCCGACCCTAGAAACTATGAAACTATGACACAGTCCCCCCAGCACCTACCCCAGACTCAATGTGTGCCTAACCCTTGCTACTCAGGTGTCCTTGTCCAGGGCTGCATTCCACCCCACCTTGATGCCCAGTATCTCTGGAGCAGGAAAGAGGCAATCCCTGGGGCTGAGCACCAAGGTATGTGTGGCTTTGTGGAGGCTGCCTCCCAGCTGACCCAGGAGGTGGAGATTGTGGACACCAGCTCCATCTCCTCCTCTGCTCAGAGCAGAAACTCGACATCTTCCTGTTGCCATGGCAACAAGCCCTGTATTTCCCAGCAAGGTTACCTGGGGTCAGTGGTGGGAGAGATCCTGCCCACAATGCCTCTGCACAGCCCAGCTACCCTTCCCCTGAGCCCTGTGCCAAGGGGAACCTGCACACAGCCAGCCAGGGCAATCCTTCTCCAGCTGGCCAGGACTGGAACCCACAGTGAGCAGTCTTCTCCATGCAGCCCAGCCCCTCCCCAGACTTTCCCAGAGCAAGGAAGGAAGCCCTCTCTCTGTGGAACTGCCACACGGACATGGCAGGCTGGACGCCTCACTCAGCTGGACTGGATGCTGAGCGTTCCCTACCTCTATATATAAACAGTGCTGAAAGTATTCACTGCTGATGGAAAGAGTAGGGATTTTTGCCTGGCCAGAGGTATTCTGCAGCCCCCACCAGACTGCGGTCATTGTAATGACTTGTGGCATTATGTGGCTCATTCTCCCACCTGGGAATTCAGCAGCCAAGGTCATGGACTGGCCCCCAGGGTTTGCAAACCTCACTGGCAGAAGGCAGCTGGGCCCCCTTGGCAAAGAGCAGACCTCACCCTCTCCACTGATTCCACTGCCTCCCAAGGCAAGACTCCAAGGCAGGCAGATGATGGGGAGGGGTGGAGCAATTCTCCTTCTCCTCACACCAGCATCATTCCACTGATTTCATGGAAGTCACCCATGGCTGACACTGGTGTCAGCAGAAGAGTCACCCAGGGAGGCCCAGCAGTGTGCTATCAGAAGGCTTAAGGAAAAGCAGAAATTTCCCAGCCAGCTGCAAAAAGAAAGGTGTAAGGAACCTGGCATTCATGGGGCAGCTGCTACATGGCACTGCTCTGGGTGTCAGCATGCCCCATCTCCCAGTGGAACATAGAGCACTGGGCATGCCATCCATCCCTGGCATTCTCCAGCTTTTCTCTGCTACAACAACAGTGGCCTGATCTCTGGAGGTGTTGAGCAGCATCTGTAATTCACCTCTACCTCAGCTGGCTTCCCAAGTGCTTGGTACCTCTCAGAACCAGAATCTTGGGTCTTATTTCTGCCACAGACTCCCCCCTTCCTCTCTTTTCTTTCTAGGGAAGCTGCACCAAAGCAGTCCAGTTACCACCTTGTTAACTCAAATGGGGATTCAACCTTGGCTGGGCCTGAGTTTTTTGGAAAGTTTGATGCAAGGAGTGACTGAAATGCTCTGGACCCCCATGGGCCACTTACTGCGGATCTGCTTCTTGATTTCCTTGGAGGGGTCCAGCCAGTTCTGAAACAGTAAGGCACAGTGTCAGGGGTGGTCACAGCAGCTGCTGGCAGAGGGTGGTGGGCTTGCAGAAGGTTTAGCAAGAGGGCTGCACCCAGGGACGTGCTCTCTGGACTTACCTTTTGGCTGTCTGAGTCACAGAATGTCAAGCCAAAGTAATCCTTCTCCAGCAGATTGAGGTGCTCACACACCATATCGAAGAGCACCTGACCCCGGGCATGCTTCTACAAGAGATACAAATGGATAGGGGACTAAGCGCAAGTTACAGCCAGAGCACCTGGGTGTCTTTCTCCTCCCTGTTCCCAGGCCTGTCACATTGCAGCTGCTCAGTGGAATGTAAAAGCTTCACCCACATGACCACAGGATGCAAGTCTCTACCACATGCTTGCAACCCACAGGAACAGAGCACAGTCACAGCGCCAGGACACAATTGTCTGCTCTTGTGTCCCCTGGGCACCAGCCACCCTAGAGAGATCAAGGAGAGCTGGGGAGGAGGCTGATATTGGATTCTTTGTGGGTGTGGTACAGTGATTCTAATGGGGTGCCCTAAGAAGCTTTTAAGGGTGCCATAGGGTGTTGTGCAATATTAGCACTGTTAGGTGTATAAACGCCTGCACATGATTCAAAAGATAAACCCAGAGATTTCAAGCAGAAATCCATAGTGTAAAAAACATTCTGACCTGCCATAGTCTTTCTGAGGTCTTCGCAACAGAATTCCTGTCTCAGAAATGCATGAAATCAGTCAAAGAAGTTTAAATCAGGTGTTGCTATATTCTGAAGAGTTAGGGACAGGTGCCTTGAGTCTGACATAGTTGATAGTTCAGTACCACTGATGTGGTTGCAGGCATGTATCTCTTGCCATAGAAATGCACAGTGCCTCCCAGACAGTGCAATGGGATTCACTGGGACAGCGTCCACACTCAGCACTTCGTGGGCTTTACCTTACTGGGATCTTGGAAATCCTGACATAGCTAAAGCCTCAGCCAGAGTTCCCTGCCTCAGCTGCTGCACTTGAGGTATTCCTTCAGGAATACCCTTCTGCCTTAGTGCTCTAATGCCCTCTTCCTAGAGAGCCAAATCAGCTCACCCAGATCCATGGTGGAGCTCATGTGCCTGCAGCAATGAATAGCATCAGCAGCAATGTCCAGGACTCTAATACCTGCAAATGCAGCAGGTGAAAAGAGCCCTAGTACCCTGTTACAGGACAGCACGAGCATTTGGTACTCACAGATGGGATGCAGCAGGGATCAAGATGATGCTGTCATACCTCCCAGTTCCTAAGAGGTTGTGGTACCAGACTAGACCAGGGATCCAGTTAGCCCAGAAACCTGTCTTCGATCAGTACCAGACATTTAGCAGGAAAGTTCACAAAACCTCAAAGTCTACAATTTTGGAATTGCCAGACAGGAGTTCCTTTCTGATCCTGCTGGTCAACACCTAGCTGTTGCCCTGGGGCAGAAAGGTTTTTAATCCCTATCACCTTATTTTTATCCTTTTTAATGATATAAATGGATGTTCTCATTAGTCCACTAAATATTCAACCCCCATTCAAATCCTACATAGAATCTGCCTTCCTGCTAGCTTACAGCAGTGAGTTCCACAGCATAATTACATGGAGAAAAGAAAGATCTCCTTTGATCTCTTCTGTGTGGTGTCCTTTAATTTTACTGTCTCCTAGCCCTTCTGTATCAGATTTAGTAAATGGGAGCTTCTGATGTCCCTTCTCCAAAACCATCCATTATTGTATATATATCATATCCTCTCCAACATGCCTTCTCTCTGAATAGAAGGCTTAGACTTTTCCTGCTATAGGAACTTTTTTCATTCCTCTGCTAGTTGTAGTCCTCATCTCTGGGCTCCTCTTCCTTTCTCAATTTTTTTTGAGCTAGGCGTTTTACATATCACAGTTTGTTGAAGCAAGGGGTGTCTTTAATGCCAGCTATTTTACACATTGCAGTCCAGTCAACTAAGGCAAAAATATACCAAAAAACACCTTTTCCTTGGTGGAGGCTCCTCACTGATTGTTATGGTGATTGGAACATGGCAACAATGCTGGACTTTAAATTGACTTGGCTACAAATGGAGTTTTTCAAAGTTGGAGTTTGTTAGTGACAGCAGCTTGTTCTATAAACAAAAACTGTACCAGCAACAAAAGACAAGAGGGTGCCAGGCCACTAAGTTGCTGCTCCTTACACTATACATAGGAGTAGCATTCTGATAAAGAAACAGCAAGTCACAGCATGTGTGCTGGGTAGGATGCAGATATTTGTTTGCATGTCCATGCATGTTTGTTGCCAGGTAAATATTAATTACAGACTTCTAGGAAGAATTAATAAATCCACATGCTGTGAAGGGGCTCAGAAAGGTTCATCTTTGCAACTTCACAAGATCATTACGGTTGCAATTGTGATCCAAGCTATTACTTGCTTATGAGCACTTTCATCTTTGTGACAATCAGTTGTTCTGCAGTGAAGTAAAGGTTTTTGTAACAAATGGCATTGTTAAAAGTGACAGATTAAGTATGGAGCTCCTGGAGTGCTGAGAACAAAGGGATAAACTTCAGTGACTCAGTCCTAGGTCCAGACCTTTGTCCTCACACCAGCTGCACTGGAGGACTTCATATTCCCATTCATCTATGAAAAACTTGAGGCCATGGTCTTACATTCTTTAATACTCAGCAAATAAGACTTCTGAGACTTACAGCCTGAGACTGGACTGATGTCCGCTCCATTTATTAAACTTCTAGTTCACTTGCACCTGCAACCAAGATTAAAAAAATCCAGCTGCTCACTTCTCAGGGGCAAGTGTAAACCTCCCTGGTGAGCATAGGGCACTAAGGTCCCCTCCACATACTGCATGTTAATCATGCAATTATTTAGGCTGGAAGGCCAGTTAAGGAGTTTTGGTGAGCTATTGCAAGCTGGGTCAGCCCTCCCTTTCCTCCCCTACACCTCGCTGTGCTGGCTCAGAACACCCTTGCCCCCACAATAGCGCACCAAAACTCCCCAAGTGCTCAATTATTAGACCAGTCTGGGGGTGCCAGGCAGAGTAGGCAGGCAGGGTCTCCATGGAGACCAGCATGAGACCCCCACGGGCAGGGTGCACTCAGCTAGGATGGGGCTGCAGGCAGCTGGGGAGTAGTGTCCAGGGCAGGCAGTTGGGGAGTAGTGTCCAGGAGCATGACAGGCTGGGACTGCACAGCGGTGACACTATGGGGCTGGGGCTGGGCCTGGGGCAGAGCTGTGATCCATTCCCCACACAGCCCTGCACAGTCATTTCCCCACGCTCCCAATCCTGGCCCCAGCCACTTGTCCCACTCCTGGACACTACTCCCTGCTCATCCGTGGCCCCATCCCATCTGCTCAGCTGAGTGCACCCTGCCTGTGGGGGGTACCTGGGCCAGTCTCCATGGACACCCTGCCTGCCCACCCACTCCATCAGGAGCTCCTGGCGGTGGGTGCAGGGTGGGCAGGCCAGGGTGTTTGGGCTGCAGGGCTAGGGCCAGCAGCAGCAGCAACACTGGCAGCAACAGCCAGAGAGAGCCGCTGTCACCGGGGCTGTTGGGAAGTTGAGTCTGGACACTGCACCACACAGCTGAGCCCTGCTGCATACCTGAGGGCAGCAGGACTGGCCGCATGCGCCATGGCTCAGGCTGTCCCCAACTCCTGGGCTTGGTGGGGCTGAGGGACCTGTTGTGGGCTGGATAAAATCCCTTGGCAGGGTGGATCTGGCCCCTGGGCCATATTTTGCCCACTCCTGCCTTAAGCTGTGATCTAGCTACACATTCAGATAGTTCATGGGGGATAAAACAAGCAATCAACTACAAACTTATTGCACAAAAAATGTGTAATAACTTTGTAGCTTGTTCTAAGCAGACCATTAACTGAACATGGGGCCACAGGGGTGCAGCACCCACTGCCAGCCCTGCAGCTGACAAGGCTTGTAGTGGTGGCAGTGTTCCTGTTGTTGCCCCTCCTGTGAGCCTCATCAGCTACGGGGCTTGCAGCAAACAGAACGCTGTGCCCCTGTGAGCCTCACTGGATGATGTAGCAAAGGCAGGGTCATTGGCTGTGGGGCTCACAGAGGGGGAGCGAGGGAGGGGCAGAGCAGCAGGGAGAACACTGCCTCTGCGAACCTCAGAAGCTATGGGGCTTGCAGCAGCAGCAATATTTTTCCTGCTGCAAGCCCTGAAGTTGACGCTGGCTGAGGGGTTTGCAGTGGGGGCAGCACCGGGAACACTGCCCCTGATGCAAGCTCTGCAGCCAGCATAGCTTGTGGTGGCAGCACAATTCCTGGTACTGGCCCTGCTGTGAGCCCTGCAGCCAATGTCACCTGCAGGATCACAGCAGGGGCAGTGCATCAGTTGCAGGGCTTGCAGCTGTGGAAGCTGGTGTAGGGCAATAAGTCTCAATGAGATCTAATGCACGATCCCACAGTTGCACACCCTGCCATGCATGTTTGGCATAGCAGGAGGCACACTTGTGTGGGTTGCACATTTGATCCCATTGTGCCTTTACCTTCTTTCCTTTTCAGTCTCTTTGTGACGAAGTATTTAGCAAAATTTGCCATTCCAAATTCGTTGGAATCTGACAGGGCCACCCGTGGCCTAGTGATGTGCTGGTGAGAATACAATGCACTGGGACGGCAGAACTGGTGAGTCCACATGGAAATTGATATTTGAAAATTTAAAGTTTTCCTCTGAAAAGCTGATCTTGTTGGAAATGCTTTGGTTTTTCCAGCTCAGCCAAATTAAACATATCATTTTTAGTTTATTATCTTTATTCAAAATGGGGAAAAGGAGGGTTACACCATTCTGGGGGGGTCCTCTCTTTCATTTATTGTTTGTCCCTTTTTTTCCTGATGAGGGCAGAACAAATCAGCAAAACATATATAAAATTGAAAACCTGCAATTTCAATTCAACCAAACCTGATTTTTATCCCAAATTGACATTTGTAATTTAAAAAAAAAATAGATCTTTCAAGAAAAAATTTAATCTCTTGAAACTTTTCATAGAAAAACCCACTGATTTCTGGTCACTTCTACCAGTGGCTCCTGAGATCTGGTCCCAGTTCTGACACTGATTCTCCACGTGGCCCTGAAAGTCACTCTCCCTCTCTGTACTTCACCCTACCATCTGTTCAGTACTCAGGGGTTAATACCCTCTATGCTAGGGGCCAAGTGGGTGCCAGTTTGTTGTTGTAGGGACCACATCTTAGTAGGGAA